ATCCCAAACCCCAAACCCCTGGGGGTGGGTGGGGGTGGGGCGGGGCTGACGGGCCGCGTGCGCGGCGCGGGGGGCTGCGGTGCTGCGCCTCGCTGCAAAGGGCGAGGGTTTAGGGTTTAGGGTTTAGGGTTTAGGGTTTGGGGTTTCGCGGTGTGCACAGCGACGGGATTGTGATGGAAAACCTCGCGGAGAGGTTTATGGCCGAAGTTCAAATTCCAGAAGCCCGGAGCTTTTACGCTTTTCAAATTGCAGTTGAAAACATTCACTCCGAGACTTACAGGTCCGTTTTGCGCTCTTTTAGGGTTTAGGGTTTGGGGTTTAGGGTTTAGGGTTTAGGGTTTAGGGATTGGGTTTGGGGTGCCTGGGTGCGCGTTGGCGCGGCGTTCGGGTGTACGTACACCCCGCGCTGCCGGGGTGTCTGGGCTGCACAAGTGCAGCAGCAGCAGCAAATAAGAAGTGGCTTTGCAGAACATTAGTCCAACTTCTTATTTGCTGCTGCTGCTGCGCTGCTGCTGCTGCTGCTGCTGCTGCGGCCTTGCTGTTTGTTTTAAATGGCCATTTGCTGCACTTCTGGCGCCTTGCTGCTGCCGGGGTTTGGAATGCTGCTGCTGCTGCTGCTGTGTGTACGTACAGCGTGTTAGTAGACTTATACATTCGAAATGAAAAAGAAACAGAACTTTTATTTGATGCCACACTTACCTTGCTGCTGCTGCTGCTGCTGCTGCTGCTGTTATGTACAGCGTTCTAATAGACTTATATATTCGAAATGAAAAAGAAAAAGAACTTTTGTTCGACGCCATTCACAACATTCCGGCGGTGGCGGTGAAGGCGGCGTGGGCGGCCAAGTGGATGAACCGCAGCAAATCTTTTGCGGAAAGACTCGTGGCTTTTTGTTGCGTGGAAGGAATTCTTTTTTCCGGATCTTTTTGCGCCATTTTTTGGCTCAAAAAACGCGGACTGATGCCGGGTAAGCCGCGGAGTTGAACTTGAACTTTTCGCGGCGTTTCGGGTGTACAGACACCGCAGCAATTCGCGCTTCGCTTTCGGACGTTTGCAGTTCAACTTCGAGTTTTGTTTCTGAATTTGTATTCATTTCGAGTTTTGTTTTTAAATGTATGTTCATTTCAAGTTTATTTTCCTGAATTTATGTTCATCTCAAGTATTTTTTCCTGAATTTATGTTCATTTCAAGTTTTTCTCCCTGAATTGCGTCATTTTCCAAGTATTTTTCCTGAATTTCGTTCATTTCAAGTTTATTTCCTGAATATTATTAAAGTTTAAAGTTTATTTCCTGACTATTATTCAAATTTATTTCCTGAATATTGTTCAAGTTCAAGATTAAATACTTTATTTTCGAACTTCAGGCCTCACGTTTTCGAACGAAATGATAAGCCGCGACGAGGGGCTGCACGCGGACTTCGGCTGTTTGCTCTATTCGCTGCTGCGCCGCAAACTCGACGCCGAAGTTCTCCGCAAAATCGTTTTGGAAGCCGTCGAAGTCGAAAAGGCTTTTATTTGCGACGCACTTCCTTGTGATTTAATTGGAATGAACAGTAGTAAGTTGTTTTTTTGAATTTGTTGAATTATTTGGAGTGTTTTAAGTTAAGTTTGAGGTGTTTTATGTAATATTTGAGTTGTTTTACGTTAAATTTGAGCTGTTTTAAGTTATATTTGTCGAAGTCGAAAAGGCTTTCATTTGCGACGCACTTCCCTGTGATTTAATTGGAATGAACAGCAGTAAGTTGTTTGTTTTTTTGAATTATTTGAATTATTTGAAGTGTTTTATGTTAAATTTGAAGTGTTTTATGTTATATTTGAGTTGTTTGGACTATTTGGATTTGTTTGAGGTTAAATTTGAATGGTTTTATGTCATATTTGTCGAAGTGGAAAAGGCTTTTATTTGCGAGCACTTCCTTGTGATTTAATTGGAATGAACAGCAGTGAGTTAGTTATTTGAATTTGTTGAATTATTTGAATTATTTGAAGTCTTTTATCTTTATGTATTTTTATGTTATATTTGAATTAGGTGAATTGTTTGTTTTTTTGAATTGAATTTGAATTGTTTGGAGTTGAATTGAATTTGAATTGAATTTGAATTGAAGTTAAATTTGAATTGAATTTGAGTTGAATTTGAATTGAATTTGAATTGAATTTGAATTTGAACTCCTTGAATTTGAATTGAATTTGAACTTGAATTGAATTTGAATTTGAACTCCTTGAATTTGAATTGAAGTTGAATTTGAATTTGAATTTGAATTCCTTGAAGTTGAATTGAAGTTGAATTTGAATTGAATTTAAATTGAATTTGAATTGAATTTGAATTGAATTTGAATTTGAATTCCTTGAAGTTGAATTGAATTTGAATTTGAATTTGAAGTTGAATTCCTTGAATTTGAATTGTTTGAATTTGACTTTCATTTGCGATCTCATTGGCATTAACAGCAGTGCGGCAGTTTCCGAAAACTTGAATTGTTGGAATTTGAATTGTTTGAATTTTTTGAACTTTTGAATTGTTTTAAGTTATATTTGAATTGTTTGAATTATTTGAATTTGAATTGTTTTGAGTTATATTTGAATTGTTTGAATTATTTGAATTTGAATTGTTTTGAGTTATATTTGAATTGTTTGAATTATTTGAACTTTTGAATTGTTTTAAGTTATATATGAATTGTTTTTAGTTGAATTATTTGAATTTGAATTGATTTAAGTTATATTTGAATTGTTTTTAGTTGAGTTATTTGAATTTGAATTGTTTTAAGTTATATTTGAATGATATTTGAATGATATTTGAATTGTTTGAAGTTGAATTGAAGTTGAATTGTTTGAATTACTTGAATTGTTTGAAGTTGAATTGTTTGAATTGTTTTTTTTGAATTGTTTGAAGTTGAATTGAAGTTTAATTGAAGTTGAATTGAAGTTTAATTGAAGTTTAATTGAAGTTGAATTGCTTTAAGTTATATTTTTAAGTTATATTTGAATTGCTTTGAGTGGAATTTGAATTGTTTGAATTGTTTGAAGTTGCATTGAAGTTGAATTTGAATTGTTTGAACTTATATTTGAATTGAAGTTGAATTGTTTGAACTTGAATTGTTTGAATTATTTGAATTTGAATTGAATTTGAATTGTTTTAAGTTATAAAGAATTATTTGAATTTGAATTGCTTGAATTCGAATTCGAATTGGAATTATTTGAAGTTAAATTTGAGTTATTTGTATTTGAATTTGAATTTGAATTTGAATTATTTGAACTTGAATTTAAATTTGAATTATTTGAACTTGAATTTGAATTATTTGAATTTGAATTATTTGAATTTGAACATGAACATGAACCACCCTGAACAAACGAACAGCAACTTAAAGAATAAAACAAGCAAACAAACCGAACGAAACAAATGACAAATAAAATAAATAAATAAATCAAACAAACAAATAAACAAACAACTAAAACAAACAAACAAACAAACAACCAAACAAGCAAACAAAGCAAATAACCCATCAAAACGCGCCAAACAAACAAACAAAAACAAACAAATAATAAACAAACAATAAACAAACAAGTAAACAAACAAATAAACAAAACAAATAAACAAACAAATAAACAAACAAATAACAAAAAGCAAACATTTGTGCCTTTTGCTGCAGCGCTGATGGGGCAGTACATCGAGTTCGTGGCGGACCGGCTGCTGCAGTGCCTGGGGGCGGCGAAGCACTTCGGCGCAGCAAATCCTTTTCCGTTTATGGAATTAATTTCTTTGCAAGGAAAAACGAACTTCTTCGAGAAGAGAGTGGGGGACTACCAGAAGGCGGGCGTGATGGTGCAGGACAAGCAGCAGCAGAGCTTCGCGCTCGACGCCGACTTCTAGCAGCAGCAGCAGCA